ATGAAGCGAGACCGTCGCACTGTCGTCAAGCCCAAGTGGTTGGGCAGGGAAGGTCAAGAGTTGATCTAAGGCCTTAGGGGAGACCGCGGTAAATGTAACGGGTTTCATATCCCGGACGAGAGAAACCAAGTCTTGAAAGTTTTAAGCCGATGCACAAAGATTGTCCTCAATTCCCAGTGTCACTCGGCCCAGCCTCCTGAAATGAAGTACTTATAGTAAGTCTTTAGTGGAAAGTACCAAAATGTAGCGATGGTCCACCAGAAAGTACCAATATGTTGTGATGGACCACCAAAACGTACCAATATGTAGTGGTGAACCACCAGAAAAAACATATATATGTAGCGATGGACCACCAGAAAGTACCAATATGTAGTGATGGATGTTAAGACCCCATGTAGCCTGGGTGAAACGAGTCTACCCACTGAGAGAGTTATTCTACCTGCTGGACCTGAAATTGGGAGGTCAAAGGAAAGATGTATATCCATATAAATAAAAATGGAAATGTTCGTTTGTGCATAACCGCTAATCTCCGAAAGTTCTTCACTGATTGCTTTCAAATTTTCGCGCAACGTTCCATTCGCATCCGATCAGGTTTTTATATACATACTAAATAGATGTCACGTCTGTGACGGTAAAAAACATGCTTTTTTTCTGGAAAAACTGTGTTTTTCATGTGATTTTTGTGAGAGAAATCTTCGAAAACTCTTTACCGATTGCTTTGAAATTTTGACACAACGTTGCATTCGAATAGGAACGTCTTTTTATACATCTACTATATACATGCCTCACCTGTGACAGGAAAAAACATGCATTTTTAGAAAAACAGCGCCATCTGTTGAACGTAAGAGAAACACACGCTGTAATCTCCAAAAGTTCTTCACCGATTGCTTTGAAATTTTGACAAAACGTTGCACTCGAATAAGCGCATCTTTTATATATCTGATATATAGATGCCCCCCCTGTGATAGGTAAAAACATTCGTGTTTGAAAAGCAGCGCCACATGTTGCACATAATAGCAACATGTACGCTATACTAAATATATCACGAATTTCATTTCAATGTTTCCGATTGAATTGATAAATTTTATTTTCATAGATTTCAATTTATTTTATTTTTTATTGAATTATTTTGTGTGACATTGCTTTGGAACTGAGCTGTGTTGTTCACCATACCATTCATTTTGTAAGTATTGATGCCTCAACTATGACAGGTAAAATTATGCTTTTCTTGAAAAACAGCGCCATCTGTTGCATGTAAGAACAACACACATGTTATACTAAATATGTTATAATTCCATTTCAATGTTTCTGATTGCATTGATAAATTGAATTTTCATAGATTTTGATTTATTTTCATTTTGATTTAATTATTTTATTTGAATTGCGTTTGAATTGAGCTATGTTGTTTACCATATCGTTCATTTTGTGAGTAAAGTTTATTTTTTAATTTTTTTCGTATTTTCATTTCATTTTTTAACTGTTTTTCTTATATTTCAGTTATGGGACACGAGGGACATCATATCACTTGATGTTCCCAATTTTCTGATGGGAACATCAGACCATTTGGGAAGGAATCGGACGAGGGAGTGGGGAATGGTGGGGAGGACGAGGGGACTGGAGAGTTTGGGATGGTGGGGAGGACGAGGGGACTGGAGAGTTTGGGATGGTGGGGACAAGGGGATGGGGATATAGAAAATGGTGGGGAGGACAAAGGGACAGGGGAGTGGGTCAGGGTGGGAAGGAAGACGGGATGGTGGAGTGGGAAATGGTGGAGAGGACGAGGGGACAGTAGAGTGGGGAATGGTTGGGAGGCCGAGGAGACAGGTGAGGGAGAATGGTGGGGGAGGACTGGGGGACAGGGAAGGTTGCTGTTGCTCAGCAATGCACATGCGTTGCTGAGCCACAGCAACGCGTGACCGGGTACTGGTAGTATATCTATATAAATAAAAATAGAAATGTTCGTTTGTGCATAACCGCTAATCTCCGAAAGTTCTTCACCGATTGCTTTTAAATTTTCACAGAACGTTCCATTCGCATTCGAGCAGGTTTATATATGCATACTATATAGATGTCATGTCTGTGATGGTAAAAAAAAAAAACATGCTTTTTCAGAAAAACTGTTTTTTGTTTTTCATGTGAAGGAAATCTTCGATACCTCTTTACCGATTGCTTTGAAATTTTGTCACAACGTTGCATTTAAATAGATGCGTGTTTTTATATATCTAATATATACATGCCTCACCTGTGACAGGAAAAAACATGTTTAAAAAAAAAAACAGTGCCATCTGTTGGACGTAAGAGCAACACACGCTGTAATCTCCGAAAGTTCTTCACCAATTGCTTTGAAATTTTGACACAACGTTCCCTTCGAATAAGTGCGTGATTTTATATACCTACTATATAGATACCACACCTGTGACAGGAAAAGCATGCTTTTTCTTTAAAAACAGCACTATCAGTTGCATATAAGAGAAACACACGCTACACTAAAAATGTTACAATATTATTTCAATGGTTCCGATTGCATTCACAAATTGAATTTTCATAGATTTCGATCTATTTTCATTTTGATTTAATTATTTTGTGTGACATTGCATTAGAATTGAGCTGTGTTGTTTACCATACCATTCATTTTGTGAGAATAAGTAGAGATGCCACACCTGTGACAGGTGAAAACATTCTTTTGTTTTAAGAAACAGCTCCATCTGCTGCATGTAAGAGCAACACATGCTATACTTAATTTGTTACGATTTCATTTCAATGTTTCCGATTTCATTGATAAAATGAATTTTCATAGATTTCGATTTATTTTCATTTTGATTTAATTATTTTGTTTCACATTGAGTTGGAATTGAGCTGTGTTGTTTACCATACCTTTCATTTTGTGAGTATAGTTTACTTTTTTATTTTTCGTTTATTTGTTAACTGTTTTTCTTATATTTCAGTGATGGGAACATCAGATCATTTGGGAATGCATTGGACGAGGGAGTGGGGAGGAAACCCGAGGATAAGGGGACAGGGGAGTGGGAGATGGTTGGGCATACAAGGGGATGGGGGAATGGTGGGGAGGACAAGGGGACGGGCGAGTAGTAGATAGTGGGAAGGACGAGGGGATGGGGGAGGGGGATGGTGAGGAGAACGAGGAGACGGGACTGGGGGATGGTGGGGACGACAAGTGGACAGGGAATGGGATAATAGTGGGGAGGATGATGGGACGGGGAGTTGGGGATGGTGGAGACGAGGGGACAGATAAATGGAGAATGGGAGGGGGGGAGGACGAGGTGACGAGGGAGTGGAAGATGGTGGAGAGGATGAGGGGACTGTGGAATGGAGAATGATTATGAGGACGAGGGGACAGTGGAGCAGGGGATGGTGGGGAGGACAAAGGGACGGGAAAGGGGGGGGAATGGTGGGGATAACGAGGGGAGTGAGGAATGGTTGGGACGATGAGGGGACTATGGAGGGGGAGAATGATAGGGAGAACTGGGAGATAGGGAAAGGTTGCTGTGGCTCAGCAACACACGCATTGCTGAGCCACAGCAATGCGTGGCCGGGTACAGGTAGTGTGTGTGTATTATATATATATATATATATATATATATATATATATATATATATATATATATATATATATATATATATATATATATATATATATATATATATATATATATATATATATGTCGTACCTAGTAGCCAGAACGCGCTTCTCAGCCTACTATGCAAGGCCCGATTTGCCTAATAAGCTAAGTTTTCCTGAATTAATATATTTTCTAAAAAAAATTCCTTTGAAATTATAAAGCAACCCATTTTATTATGTATGAGGTCAATTTGTTTTTATTGGAGTTAAAATTAACGTAGATATACGACTGAACCTAACCAACCTACCTAACCTAACCTAACCTATCTTTATAGGTTAGGTTAGGTTAGGTAGCCAAAAAAGTTAGGTTAGGTTAGGTTAGGTAGGTTAGGTAGTCGAAAAAAACAATTAATTGATGAAAACCTGGCTTATTAGGCAAATCGGGCCTTGCATAGTTGGCTGAGAAGTGCGTTCTGGCTACTAGGTACGACATATATATATATATATATATATATATATATATATTTTTATTTAAGTATATATTTTTATTATTATTATTATTTTGTAACGTTGAGATGATAATTACAATTACATGTGTTCTTGTTATCATTTCTTCTTTTCTTCGTCCTCATTTTTGTAGATTGGCACCACATATATATATATATATATATATATATATATATATATATATATATATATATATATATATATATATATATTTCATATATATATATATATATATTTCATATATATATATATATATATATATATATATATACATATAATATGGGGACCCATAGCCTCGGAGAAGAAAATAAAAAGTATTCAGAGGAGACCTTGTGGTTTCTCACTGAACACTAATATTATCTTCTCCTACCACCCCCATTCTTTTGTATGTACACATATATATTTACTTTATTTGAACTTTGTTACAAAAAGGAGTTACAAATGGATTATATATATATATATATATATATATATATATATATATATATATATATATATATATATATATATATATATATATATATATATATATATATATATATATATATTCATTGAAGGGTTAAAACACAAATAAATAGGGAAGGAAGCTTTTCCTCTGACATCCGATTGCTGGTTGAGACTCCTTTCCATTCCCTGAGAAAAACCAACACAGAACACACGTCCTGGTGCCAACACTCAGGAACACCCTAATTAATCTAGTAACATTTATTGCCCAAATAACATATATACCAATGTTATAAATTTATAATAAACCAATGTATATAAATAAACATATACTTAAGGTATATGTTGTAAATCTCTTCATATATGGCTTCTGTCATAATATTTATTAATTTTATATTTTGCATTTTGATTTATTCATTTCATTCACAAGGGTTGAGAAAAAGATTGAATAAAGTACTGTAGTTTTTATTCTCCTGTGACTAGATATCATTGTTGATGATTTGTCGACATGGGTGGAGTAGAGATAGTTGATATGGGTGGAGTAGAGGGCTAGATTCTTGTGGCAGAGTGGGGATGAAAAGGTGGTGTAGAGGGACTTGACAGGATTGCATAGAAAGGGCCCACATGTGGTGTTGATAGGGCGGATTAGTGGGTCGACACTGGTGACACAGATGGAGTCGACACTGGTGGCACAGATGGAGGCGACACTGGTGGCACAGATGGAGTCGACACTGGTGGCACAGATGGGGTCGACACTGGTGGCATAAAAGGTGGGGTTGACACTGGTGACACAGATGGAGTCGACACTGGTGGCACAGATGGGGTCGACACTGGTGACACAGATGGAGTCGACACTGGGGGGCATAAAGGGGGGTCGACATCGGGCATATAACCTACACTTACAAAAATAGAGAACACTTATCACAGTTCACTTTAACTGTATATCTGACAGATTATATATCCTGACCATGCAGGCTGCCAGCCTCAACAACTGCAATTGGCCAAACAATATTCAGCAAGATGCTGATCATCCTAACATAGAAGATATAGGGTGATATGGCATGCTCATTACAGTCAGTCACAAATTTCACAATGCAGATCATCACAAATTATCAATATCAGATGTCATAACTTCAACACTACAAGGCTGAACCAAACTTAAGTCATTACAGGTCATCATACATTTCTCGTCACAGGGCATTACAGGCCGGTACAGAACCCATCTCCCATGGAGTGGCTATATCTATCTCTGCCACTTTAGGGAGGGTGAAATGGGTGTCGTGGATGGGTGACAGAAGAGTGATGAAGGAGTCATGATCTATGTACAGGGAGATATGAAGTGAAGGGGGTGCTAAGAGGTAGAGGAATGCTCATTCCAACGTGCGTGGAGAGAACAGTGAGGTCTTTCAAAGTGAGGTAATGGTATCTGGAGGTCGAGGTAGCGTGGAGGTCCTCGGCGTGTGGTGGAGATGGGTAGAAGAGGCTGCCCGACGAACTGTAGGTGATGGTGGAAGTGGAGGAGCGACGGATGGAGTCTCCTGCGAAGGAGAAGATGTATCGTCTACGTCGAGGGGGGAGTACCCATAGCAGGTGACTCCCATACTGCTACCCACCAGCTTGCTGAGCAGCCCTGCACGACCACCCACCTTGACCTCACTCTCACCTGTCTGCACTACTCTCTCCTCCTCCTCAGCAGAGGTGTAGTCAACTACTACAGCAGAGTCTGGTGTTACATCCAGTTGATGGCTGTCCTCGGGAGTGGCTGGTCTCGTCGGCATGCAGTGAGTAGGGGTGGGATGAATGTTTCTGGGATTGAGGTGAGATCTATGAGCAGGTGTAAGGGGAAGGGTAAGCAGGTGATGGTTTTGGCGACGTGAGGGTTGGTAGGGGTAGGGAAGGGACCCCAAGCTGACAGCATCGTTGGAGGAAGAAACATCAGTGAGGTAGTCAACATGAATCTCCGAGAGTGAGGAGCAGGTGCTGGGCTCCATGGCGTCGGAGGGCTGAGAAGTGTGTGCTGCGTCCTGAGGAACCAGCCGTCCATGGTGCACGCCAGCATCCTGCTGCACCTGCCGCCCACGATGTATGCCTGGAATCTGCTGCTGCTGCAGCTTGAGGTAGTGAGGAGGGGAGACATGGTGCGGTGTAGAGTAAAGGTTGCTGCTGCCAGAAATGCTGTCAGAGCGGTGGTGGTAGTAGGAAGCTACCTCATAGTCATCAAACGTATGCACATTGTACTTATTGGACGAGACACCGGGCATTGTCAGGTGCTGGCTGGTTGGGTGTGGCACTTGGTGTGTGTACTGCAGACCTTGGCATGCTCGGCGCCCGCTGGTAGTGTGGGCCCTGATTGGCTTCCTAATAGGGGACCTCTCTGGGGAGGAAAGGGAAGGTGCTGGACCACAGTAGTATCTGGTGGGCGGAAGTGTCTGGCTGGAGAAGGTGCGGGGAGTCTTCACTGACGGTGTTGTTAACAATGAACCATTGCGGAGGTTTAGTGATGACCGCTTAAAGACATCATCCATGGCTTGTTGGGGATCCACCTGAGTGCGGAATCTAACAAAGCCACTGTCATTAACCAGCATGGACGCTGGCCTGAAGTCTGTGGCAGACTGTGTCCGTTCACGGTTCCATAGGAGCTGGAAGTCGGAGGTGATGGAGGGGGCATCATTGGGCTTATCAGGCTGATCTGGGCTCGTCCAGTCCAGGGGTGTAGGCTTGAGGGGATGGTTGATTGGATGGTGAACAGGTCGTTGAGTGAAGCCACCAACAATATGCTTCTTTTCAGAGGTAGCTGGGAAGACGTTAGCACTCCGGCCACTCTTTGCTTCCCTCCCACAGCTAGTAAGCACAGAGAAGATGTCAGCATCGCAGCGGGTGGTGGAGGGCCGGCCCTGGGACACCAGCCCCGCCGATACCACAATCCCAATGCCCACTACCAGTTCCAAGCCCCGTGCTAAGCTCACACGTGCCCACCATGCCCAAACATGGGCAGCAGGCACCAAAGGAGCTACCAGCACATATAAATGTAGTGTAGCAAGTATTATTTGAGCCACATTGGCCACCACGGCAACTCGAGTGCCCCGCTGGAGGCCAGAGTGGCGGCTGGAGCCACCACCCCAGCGAGTAACCCTAGCCAAGAGCTGACCCCTCTGTCCACCACAAGACTTCTCCACCCGCCACACAGACCACATGCCACCCACACCCACCCCGGCACCCCAGGTTGCAGTCACTGCTCGTGCCACTACTCGCAATGGGAGGGAATACTGTACCATCAGGTTGGCAGCTGTGTGGGCACTGATGGAGACAGCCAGATGAAGTGCTGTCATAAGGGTGAGCACCAGTGTGGCGTGTGGGCGTGACGGTGGGGACCGGCGGGCGGCCTTTGCCAGAACCACTGCCAACACTGCCAGTGCTGCTGTGAGGCAGGGCCAACTGGCCTCCTCCACAGCAGCAGCCACGACCTGTGGCAGGCGGTGCTCCACGCCGTATGGGTCGTGGAAGAGGTGGAGGCTCCTGAGGGTGGCAGCAAGGAAGACGAGTGCGTGGGTGGCCAGGTAGTGTGGACGGGGTAGCAGGGTTGTGGAGGCAGAGCGAGCCATGCAGCACACAGCAGCAGCAGCCAGCAAAGCCAGCAGACCAGCAGACACATACACATGGACCCACCAAGCAGCCCCAAGCTTCCACCTCACACCCGACATGTCCCCCCACCACCCTGCCTCATTCTCTCCTAATCTGCCCATGGGGTGGGATGAGGACGACCCACCTTGGGGAGGTGGTGAGTGTGTTGCCTGAGCCTGGCTTGGCGGTGGGGTGTTGCGCGTCTCCACCTGTGGGGAAGGGGAGGGAGCAACCCCACTCTCACTCACATTACTCTCCTCGTGGATGATGTACGACACCTCACTGTCTGCTGCGCCCTCACCAGGTGTGGCAGTGCTCTGCTCGAGCCACACCAGCTTCACAATACCATCTGGGGCATCTGACCTTTCCTCAGAGATCTGATGCTTGCTCCAAGGGAAGGTGGTGACGACTGGGGAACTGGTGGTGGAGACCACAGTGGTAGATGTGGGTGTGGTGGTGGTGTTGGGAGCATGGGTGGGTGCACCGTAGGCTACGCCCCTGAAGATGGCAGCTATTTCACTCTCTCTGGTGGAGGGACTCCGGCGTGGCGAGGGAGGGCGCTCCCCCAGTTGGGTGATGAGGCTACGCGAGGCTCCGCCACCTGCCCACCACCATGATGCCCGAGGCCCACCCACAGGTGGCAGCATGCCCGGTGCCACAAGTCCCAGTTGACCTGCCACTACTGGCAACATCCACCACCACACCACCATTACCAGTACCGTCCATGTGTGTGCGCGCAGGTGTGGGGTCATTGTACACATGTCGCTGGCCACGTGGTCTCACACCATGTAGGCTTGCATACATCTGTGGACACAAAACACTAATTACAAAAATGTTAATTAGCTTTATTCATACTAAATATATATATATATATATATATATATATATATATATATATATATATATATATATATATATATATATATATATACATACACACACAGGGTAAAATTGCAAGACATGAAGAAGTCAACGACATCATCAAGAGGAGCCTCCCCACTGCCTGGCACAAAGAGAACCACACTTATCCAGACCTAACGACCCTCAGAAGCGCCCAAATGGGGTCACCTTGCTACCTTGGAAGGATGGTAAGTAAGTGGTGTGGGACTACATGTGCGCTGCCACACTGGCCAGTACCTACCTCCACTACAGCACACGTGAAAGCGGTGGTGCTGCTTCTTTCAGGGAATCGCAGAAAATTATTAAATACAGAGGTCTGGCACACTGTTACAGCTATGTTGCGATCGGCTCGGAGACCCTCGATTCGTGGGGAAAATGTGCATTGAAGTTCCTGAAGGAATTGGGGGACAAATTGATCAGCGCTACAAAAGACCAGAGAGCAAAAAGTTTCTTGTTCCAGCGCCTCAGTGTTGCGATTCAGAGGGGAAATGCCTGTTGCGTCTTGGGCACTAGTCCAACTGCAGAGGAATTCGAAGAAGTGTTTGACTTGCAAAAATGATCGAACCCGTCTGTGACATCCATCAATGTTTCCCATTGTCTTGTTTTTCAAGACATCCATAACCTTTAAGCACCTTTTTGTATTATTATTTTTGTATCAACCCATGTATATCTTGTAACCATCAAATACATAATAAAGCACAAAAAATAAAAAGGAAGGGGGTGGTAGGAGAAAAGCACACAGAAACTGTATTGGAGGGGATCTAAACATTCCCTCTAATGCGTTATGCGTGGTTTCCTTCGAGGCTATGGGTCCCCCTTCTTCCAGCTAGAGGTGGTACTCCCTTCATAAAATTAAAAATATATATATATATATATATATATATATATATATATATATATATATATATATATATATATATATATATATATATGTATATATATATATATATATATATATATATATATATATATATATATATATATATATATATATATATATATATATATATATAGGGAAGGGAGTACCACCTCTGGCTGGAAGAAGGGGGACCCATAGCCTCGGAGGAAACCATATATATATACATATATATGTATATGTATATATATATATATATATATGTCGTACCTAGTAGCCAGAACTCACTTCTCAGCCTACTATTCAAGGCCCGATTTGCCTAATAAGCCAAGTTTTCCTGAATTAATATATTTACTATAATTTTTTTCTTATGAAATGATAAAGCAACCCCTTTTCTCTATGTATGAGGTCAATTTTTTGTTATTGGAGTTAAAATTAACGTAGATATATGACCGAACCTAACCAACCCTACCTAACCTAACCTAACCTATATTTATAGGTAAGGTTAGGTTAGGTAGCCAAAAAAAGCTAGGTTAGGTTAGGTTAGGTAGGTTAGGTAGACGAAAAAACATTAATTCATGAAAACTTGGCTTATTAGGCAAATCGGGCCTTGAATAGTAGGCTGAGAAGTGAGTTCTGGCTATTAGGTACGACATATATATATATATATATATATATATATATATATATATATATATATATATATATATATATATATATAGAGTTTGTGAGGGTACCACCTCTGGTGCCAATGTGGGGACCCATAGCCTCGGAGAAGAAAATAAAAAGTATTCAGAGGAGACCTTGTGGTCTCTCACTGAACACTAATATATATATATATATATATATATATATATATATATATATATATATATATATATATATATATATATATATATATATATATATATATATATATATATATATATATGTGTGTACATTTTGGAAGGAGTCTTTCTTGCAAACATATGTTGTTGAAAATGACCGGATAGGTAACATTTATCATTCTAACACGAAACTTTTAAATATTTCTTACGTTTTTCTTCACTGTCAGGGGAAGTTGAAAAATGAACTCTCCAAAGTTCATTTTCACACTTATATTTTTGATCTGGCGCCTAGGGATGCTTTTTGCAAGGTCAATCATTACATTTTCAAAAATTCCTCTTTGAGTATGTAAAGAGTAAGCATGCGAAACGCATCCCTAGGCATCATACCACAAATAAAATTATGAAAATGAGCTTTGGAGAGTTCATTTTTCAACTTCCCCCGACAGTGAAGAAAGTAATCGGTAGTTTAGCAAGATTGTTAGTTGGCATCAAGGTGGGGTATAGGAGTACATATGCCAAAACCTCCTTCCCTCCTTGACCATCATGTAACCACCACCCTTTAAGACTATCCCCCCCCCCAGCCACAAGTCACCCTGCAAGATTGGTGAGGCTGGCCCCGAGCGTTTGGTCTCCAGCCTCGGTGAGACAGACATCCATCTTTACATATATAGTGTGAATGAAGCTATAAGATATCACCATTATTGAAAAGCTGTGGCGAGTGTGGTTATTCTGACGTACCACAACTGTTATCATGGGCTGACGCTGACTCTCACGTCACAGACGCCTGTTTGCAAGTTAGCAAACAGAAATGCAGTCACATATTGTTGGTCAAAGACATTCATTCCAGCAGTCTACCCACGATCTACACATACACCAGCTGTGGACCCATGATCTACACATACTCCAGCTGTGGACCCATGATCTACACATACTCCAGCTGTGGACCCATGATCTACACATACACCAGCTGTGGACCCATGATCTACACATACTCCAGCTGTGGACCCATGATCTACACATACACCAGCTGTGGACCCATGATCTACACATACTCCAGCTGTGGACCCATGATCTACACATACACCAGCTGTGGACCCATGATCTACACATACTCCAGCTGTGGACCCATGATCTACACATACTCCAGCTGTGGACCCATGATCTACACATACACCAGCTGTGGACCCATGATCTACACATACTCCAGCTGTGGACCCATGATCTACACATACTCCAGCTGTGGACCCATGATCTACACATACTCCAGCTGTGGACCCATGATCTACACATACTCCAGCTGTGGACCCATGATCTACACATACTCCAGCTGTGGACCCATGATCTACACATATATCAGCTGTGGACCCATGATCTACACATACAACAGCTGTGGACCCATGATCTACACATGCACCAGCTGTGGACCCATGATCTACACATACTCCAGCTGTGGACCCATGATCTACACATACAACAGCTGTGGACCCATGATCTACACATATATCAGCTGTGGACCCATGATCTACACATACAACAGCTGTGGACCCATGATCTACACATATACCAGCTGTGGACCCATGATCAATGATATGGATGGACAGCTGACCCATGTCAGCTGTCCATCCATATCACAGACAATTGATGGCTTGGAAATGCCGCGTTTGACCCCGGATGGCGGTCCTGCGGTGAAAGCATGTCTCGCGAGAGTGTTGGGTCAGGACTGAAAAAGGAGAAAAATTCTTGACATCTTTCTGCAATTGTCGAGGCTTCCACAATACTGGTTCGTCTCTGTCCCATGAAGCTCCATGTTAGAGATTCCAAGCCGGCGTAAACGAAGCTCAGAAAGAATGCAAAATCGAGTGACAAGAAAAAGGAAGAAGCAGTGGAGAGACAATGATAGCCTCTGTGACTAACATTTGGGAGAAGGGAACGGTGACGATTAAGGCCAGCCTCGTGGCAGTAGGAAACACCACCGTATTAGTGTACTGTGGTGGTGATGAGGAGCAGGGCAGCGTCGTGTACTCTGAGGTTCGTACACAGATCTTGGAATACATCAGAAAGTTGGACAAGAGGATTGCAGATCTAGAAAAGATAGCTATGGCAAACAGATTAAGTGTAGTGGGAAGTGTAGTGGTGAGTGTAGTGAGGAGTGTAGTGGTGGGTGTAGTGGGGGAGTGTAGTGGTGAGTCAAACAGAGAAGAAAGAAAGGACGAGGACGGAGATCACGGATGGAAGAGTCTCAGGAGAATAAACTATCCACTAATGATGGCAGTGCTCAACCCTGTGTGGTGGGAAATGTTGAAAAAAAAAGGTAAAGGAGAACTGGTTTACACAAAGCCAATATGAAGACATAGTTAACAATAGCATTACCTGTGATTGCAGCGGGCTCACAAGTGCTAAACAAGATGGACTTTTAACGGCTAAAATCTGAGACAGAATTGTTTAATAGAAAAAAACAATACATTCATGAATGACATCGTACCTTATAACAGTGTAACCCGAGGGACTCATATTTTCTCCCTTATTGTGTACACTTTAACATGTATTGCGAATTTCTTTCCACCTTTTGAAGGGAGAGGATTCGATCCCCGCCTCTCATTAATATAACCGCTGAAGCTCCATGTATCTCTGATAACCTATCCCCAGTACTTTGTAAGTTGAATTCCATCCTCATTATTAATATGTTAAATAGTTATATCCTGTGTGAATATGTGATCCCCCTTAAGGGACCTCATACAGACGAGGGTAGATAGCCTAAGCTACTCTCTATCCTTTTGAGAGAGATATTCCCCAAATCTCTCTTGAATGTCCTACGCTTCAATTTTATATATAATATTAGGCCTAAGTAGATTTAAATACCCAACAGCGCCCCATTTTCTTTGAGCAGGCCTAGGTAAATTTTTAGACATGAAAATCTTCTAAAAATTATAACAGGATTTTTATAAATCGTAGTAATTGCGAATTACAGATTTACTGTGAATTACTGTGAATGCTAGTTAATCACTGACTCTCAGTGCCCATCAAGTCAACCATTATGAAGCACAGTCACTGTTAACCACTGAGATATACTGTAAATAACTGTGAACGAATGTGAGTCACTGTCAACTGTTGTTAGTTAATATCAGTCACTGTCTGCCACTGGCAAACACCGTCATTCACTGTGAATCACAGTTAATTAATGTCAATCACATTAAATCACTTTCAACCACTGTCAGTCACCATCAACTGCTAATCACTGTCAACTACTGTGAATGACTGAAACTCATTGGTCAATCACTTTGAAATGTATCAATCACTGTCAATCCCCGACAAACAATGGTAATGACTGTCAACCAACGTGAGTCACTGTCAGTCACCATCAGTCACTGAAAATCCTTAGTACTTGTATAGCTCTGAGCTCCCCATTTTTTTCTTATCTAAGTTACCGGTAGCTTCACCAGGCGGCCGTTTTCATTGTTCTCTGAACGTGCGGTTTTATCGTTCCATCAGGTTTAAATATTTTCTTTCATGATTTTTTTGAGTTTTGCATTTAAAAAATTATGAAAAAAGTGAGAATTCTTTTCTTGAGAGAGAGAGAGGTAGAGGGAGAGAGAGAGAGAGAGAGAGAGAGAGAGAGAGAGAGAGAGAGAGAGAGAGAGAGAGAGAGAGAGAGAGAGAGAGAGAGAGAGAGAGAGAGAGAGAGAGAGAGAGAGAGAGAGAGAGAGAGAGAGACAAGGAGACAGAGACAGACAGAGGCCAGACAGACAAACAGACAGACAGACAGACAGACAGACAGACAGACAGACAGACAGACAGACAGACAGACAGACAGACAGACAGACAGACAGACAGACAGAATAGCAAGAGCGAGCGAGCGTGTATGTAATTCCCAAAGTGTAGTTACAGGATGAGAGCTACGCTCGTGGTGTCCCGTCTTCCCAGTTCTCTTCGTCGTATAACGCCCTGACGGTTTTAGCCTCTTTACTTAGCTTGTTCCAACCGTCTTCCACTCTGTTTGCGAAATATAAATTTCTAATATTTTTTCGGCACCTCTGCTTTCTTAGCTTGAATTTTTGTCCTCTTGTTCGTGAAGATGCTGGTTTCAGGAACTCCGCTTTGTCTATTTGTTCTATTTCTGTTAGTATTTTGTAAGTGGTGATCATATCACCTCTCTTCTGTCCTCTAGTTTTGGCATGATTAACGCTTCTAGTCTCTCCTCGTAACTCTTTGTTTTTCAGTCCCGGAAACCATTTTGTAACATGCCTTTTCACCTTTTCCAGTTTTTTTACATACTTCTTGAGATTTAGGCACCATATAACTGCTGTATATTCCAACTTTGGTCTCACAAAAGTCATGAACGGTTTCTTCAGTATTTCACCATCCATATAATTAATAGCAAGTCTGAAGTTGGACAGCGACGCACACGCTCCTCTCACACTGTTCTTCATGTGTTCCTCTCGCGACAACTTACTATCCAAACAAACCCACCCCCCCCCCAGGGCTCGTTCGTTATTAGAGTTCTGTAATTCCTTTCCACATAATTTGTAGATCTAGATCAATTTGAAGGGCATAACAATCATATGTGTCTCCTACCTTCCCCAGTATCTTAGCATCATCCACCAACATGTTCATATAATGTTGTATTCCTTCTGGTAGATGGTTTATGTAGACGATGAACATTACTGGTGCAAGAACTGAACCCTGTGGTACTCCCCTAGTAACACTCCTCCAGTCTGATACATTGTCTCTGATGACTGCCCTCATCTGTCTCTCAGGTGAGGCGTGTGTGTGTGTACTCACCTATTTGTAATCACCTATTTGTGCTTGCGGGGGTTGAGCTTTGGCTCTTTGGTCCCGCCTCTCAACTGTCAATCAACTGGTGTACAGATTCCTGAGCCTAATGGGCTCTATCATATCTACATTTAAAACTGTGTATGGAGTCAGCCTCCACCACATCACTGCCTAGTGCATTCCATCCGTTAACTACTCTGACACTGAAAAAGTTCCTTCTAACGTCTCTGTGGCTCATGTGGGTACTCAGTTTCCACCTGTGTCCCCTTGTTCGCGTCCCACCAGTGTTGAATAGTTTATCCTTGTTTACCCGGTCGATTCCTCTGAGGATTTTGTAGGTTGTGATCATGTCTCCCCTTACTCTTCTGTCTTCCAGTGTCGTAAGGTGCATTTCCCGCAGCCTTTCCTCGTAACTCATGCCTCTTAGTTCTGGGACTAGTCCCAGAAGTCACACACACACTAGTCTGTGTGTGTGTGTGTGTGTGTGTGTGTGTGTGTATGTGTGTGTGTGTGTGTGTGTGTGTGTGTGTGTGTGTGTGTGTGTGTGTGTGTGTGTGTGTGTGTGTGTGTGTGTGTGTGTGTGTGTGTGTGTGTGAGTTTTGTGTTTGTTTGTGTGTATGTGTGTACTCACATATTTGTACTCAACTATTTGTGCAGGGTCGAGCGACCAGTATCTCTTGGACCCCGATTTTCTAGCCGCCGGTTGTCTAATGCACTCTTGACTATATCTACTTCTGTTATATCTACTTTTAAAATTATGAATAGAGTTTGTTTTCAAAACCTGTTCCTTTAGTTAATTAGATTTTCCCACTACTCTTACGCTAAAAGACAACTTTCTGACATCTCTGTGATTCATCTGAGTCTCAAGCATCTATTCTTGTCTTCTTATTGTATGGGTGTTCATTGTGAACAATAACACTTTTTTCAATCTGTAAATCCCCTGAGTATTTTTAATGCCTCTCTCATGTCTCCCGTCTCTCGTTTTTTCTAGCATCGCCAGGTTGAGTTCCTTCAGTCAGTCTTCATATCCCAGCCCTCGGAATTCTGAAACGAGTCTTGTTGGAAACAAATTTATTTTCTAACAAAAAAAAGTTTCTAAAAATTTATAAAATCGTTGACATTCTTTCTAAAATCCGATATTATGTACCTCGCCCCAGCCCTGGTAACGTTCTATTACTCTCTCATCTATCATTATCTCAATTATAGTATCCATGCCTGGCGTTCTACTACCCAAAATCAGCTACAACCTTTAATTGCTCATCACAAATTAGCCAATAAAACAATAACAAACTAAAGCCATTACTTAAACCATTACTTAAACCATTACTTAAATCTTTGATTAGGTTAGATATTAAGTCACTGCACACACATACACATTTTATATATATATATATATATATATATATATATATATATATATAATATATATATATATTATATATATATATATATATATACATATATATATATGTCGTACCTAGTAGCCAGAACGCACTTCTCAGTCTACTATGCAAGGCCCGATTTGCCTAATAAGCCAAGTTTTCATGAATAAATTGTTTTTCGACTACCTAACCTACCTAACCTAACCTAACCTAACTTTTTCGGCTATCTAACCTAACCTAACCTATAAAGATAGGTTAGGTTAGGTTAGGTAACCTAACCTAACCTAACTTTTTCGGCTATCTAACCTAACCTAACCTATAAAGATAGGTTAGGTTAGGTTAGGTAGGATTGGTTAGGTTCGGTCATATATCTACGTTAATTTTAACTCAAATAAAAAAAAATGACCTCATACATAATGAAATAGGTAGCTTTATCACTTCATAAGAAAAAATGAGAGAAAATATATTAATTTACGAAAACTTGGCTTATTAGGCAAATCGGGCCTTGCATAGTAGACTGAGAAGTGCGTTCTGGCTACTAGGTACGACATATATATATATATATATATATA